GAACCAATAACACTGGCGGAAGCAGCAGCAGCGGACCTGGACGTGGTTCAAGTGGAGGAGGTCGAGGAGGCGGTCGCGGAGGCGGACGAGGAGGGCGCACTGGGGAACGCGGCGGACGTGGAGCAACTACTCCATCCACGGGTGGGTTTCCCCCGTGTCAGTACGTCATTCGTCAAGGCCCCAACAAAGGTCAGACCTGCAACCAGACCACTCATCCAAGTGAAACGTGCTTCAAAGCCCTCACTGATGAATGGCTTGCACGCGGCAACACAGGTCCCCCTCCACGTTGGAACACTATCACCCCTCGCCCCACCCCTCATGATATTCGCACCCTCTCCACCTATGCACCCTCTCCACCTAACCTCCATAATGTCCTCGCTCAGCACCTCTCCCCTCACGTCCTCCAGCAAGTCCAACACCTTCTTCCCACACCCACCACCACCCCTACGCCCTCCACCCTCACCACTTCGCCTCCACCCACGCCCCCACCTCCAACCCCTCCCTCCCCCTATCCTCCTCTCTATCCTCCTCCTTATGCCGGCTGGCCCTACCCTCCCTACCCCCCATCTATGTATGGCCATAGAACTGCCGCAACTGCTGCAACTGCTGCAACTACTGAACAACCCACCTCCTCCTCTCACCCCCCCGGCTTCATAGGTCATGTCACCACTGCTAGCTCTTGCAATAATCCTATGTATGCCAATGCTATTAATGAGTCCTCATTCCAGTACTCCGTGTCCTCCTCCTCCCAGCCCCTTGAGTTCATCCTTGACAGCGGTGCCACCCACACGGTCCTTCGTGATGCAGGCACGCTCCTCCCCCTCTCCACCCCCTCCACAATCTATGGGGCTGACTCAAGCTTTGCCATACAAAGCCGTTACACCTCCACACTCCCCTGTCCCCTCTTTCCCTCAGGTACTGTCACAGGTCTCTATGTCCCCTCCCTTCGTAACAACCTGGTTTCCCTTGGTGCCCTCTCAACGGCAGGTGTCACCGCCTTATTTCCTGGTCACGCAGCATATTGTGACTTATTTCACACCCCCTCTGGTCGCTTCCTCTGCCGTGTCCATCGGTGCCCCTCCACCCACATGTACACCTTCCGCATCCCCCGCCCCACCCTTCACCAACTCTCCACACCCCATCCCCCCACCCCCTCCCCTCCTCTCGAACCTCTCCCTCCCCCTCCAACTCCCCCTCCCCCCTCCCTTCCCCCTCCCCCTCCCCCTCCCCCTCCCCCTCCCCCCACCCCTTCCCCCCCCCCCCCATCTAACCCACCCTCCCCCTGTCACTGTCGTAATCTCACACACCCCACCATTCTCCTCCACCATCGCCTAGGCCATCCCAACTTTGCCACCCTTCGCCGATCCATCCTCACTAAACTCCTTGACGGTCTCCCCCTTACCCTTCCCCCCCTCCCTCCGTCCCCCTCCCCTCCTTGCTCAGTTTGTGTTGAAAGCAAGCTGAAGCAACAACCACACACGAGTAACCCCTCCTTTTCCCTCCAACCCCTTGACCTCGTTCACATGGATATGTGGGGCCCTAACCCTTCCCCCACCAGGCAAGGACATCGCTATCTCCTGATCCTGGTGGATGATCACAGTCGATACTCCTCCGTCACCCTCCTTCGTACGAAGGCGGAGGCCCCGGCTGCCATCACTGCCTGGGCTGAACAAGCACGCAACCACTTCGGTCGCCCTGTTCGCCGCTTCCATTCCGATGGAGGCGGTGAGTTCCTCATCCACACCCTGTCCTCCTACTGCACCACTCACGGCATCCTCCACACCTACACTCTCCCTCACTCTCCTCAGCAGAATGGTGTGGCGGAGAGCCGCGTGCGGGAGATCACCAAAACGGCTCGGTGCCTCCTCGTTCACGCCTCCTGCCCACCTTCTCTGTGGGGCTATGCCATCCTTCATGCTGCCATCCTCACTAACCTCTACCCCCACCCTTCCCGTCCCACCTCCACCCCCACCGAACTTTGGACCTCCAGCAAGCCTGACATATCTCCTCTGCGCGTCTGGGGTTGCAAGGCGTATGCCCTCATACACCCTGCTGACCGCTCACGCGCACGTCGAAAGCTTGCGTCCCGCACACTCCCCTGTGTCTACCTTGGACACAACACCAACTCACCTGACTACCTTTTCCTCCACCCCCCCTCAGGCCGCCTCATCCGTAGTCGGGACGTGGTCTTTGACGAGGCCACCCCGTACTACACCTCCCCCTCCGCCCCTAACCCCCTTCCCCCATTTCCCCGGCCCCTTCTCTGGACTGACACCCTGCCCCTCCTCCCGTCCCCTGCCATGACCCCTCCCCCCCCTCCCCCACCCCTCCCCCCCTCTCCCCTCTCCTCCAGCTCCTCCGGCGACATCCTTAACCCACCCCCCCCTTCCCCCTCCCACTCCACTACCTCACCTTCCGCTGCAACCCACCTCCCTCCTCCTCCTCCCCCTCCTCCACCTCCCCCACCCCCTTCCCCTCCATCCCCCCTCCCCTCCTCTAATCCGGCCCCCCCTCCGCCTCCCCCCCCCCTTCCCCAGCGCCCCTCCCCTACCCTTGTCCTTCCCAGCTATCCCCACACCCGCTCCCTGGACCCCATCCTTGGTTCCCCACAGACTTCCCCCCCCTCCCTCCTCGCCCTCATCGGTACTCCCCTCCCCCCCCGCTTCAGCCCCCTCACTCCAGATCCACTGCGCAACCGCTCCACGCTCTTTACTGCACCACCGCGCAGCCGAGCAGCAGCACTTCAATGTCCCAGACTCGACCTCCAGCGCAGCTGTCTTGCATCTTCACCACCCCCTCTACCTCCTCCTCTCTCTCCTCTCCTCTACGAAGACACCCACGACGAACTCCTCTTCCTCCACCTCCTCGCGCCCTCCATCGCCCCCATCGTCCGCACCATGGCAGGCACTCCAGTTCTTCTTTTCTCGGGCACCCCCACCATCTTCGAACCCACCACGTACGAGGAGGCTATTGCGTGCCTCGACGCCCCACTCTGGATTGAAGCCATGGTCAAGGAGAGCAACGCTTTCATCCACAACCGCTCCTTCATCGACGTCCCTCGCCCTGCCAAGACCAATGTCGTCAAGGGCAAATGGCTCTTCCGTGTCAAGCTTCTCCCTGGCGAAGACCCTGTTTACAAAGCTCGCTATGTGGCGAAGGGCTTCACGCAAAAGCACGGCTTTGACTTCTTCGACACATACTCACCCACTGCTACCCCACCGGTCGTTCGGGTGTTCCTCGACTTCGTCGGCAGACGCGGCATGCTGTTACACTCCATGGATGTCACTACCGCCTTCCTCCAAGGCGACCTACACGAACTCATCTTCATGGAACGCCCCAAAGGCTTTCACGCTCCACATGACCCGTCCACCGTTTGGAAGCTGCTCCAACCCGTCTACGGCCTCAAGCAGGCACCCCGGGAGTGGCATGCCAAGCTCTCTTCCACCCTTCGCGAGCTTGGTTTTCGCCCCTCCCGAGCTGCCTCCAGCCTCTTCCTTCGGACGACTCCGTCCCCTTTCTACATTCTCGTCTACGTCGACGACTAGCCGCTGACACAGATGCTGAGATGCAAGAGGTCAAGGACGAACTACAGCGTCGCCTCGCCTGCAAAGACCTGGGGGAGGTCCGCAACTACCTTGGCATGGAGATCACCCGCGACCTCAAGGCTAAGACTATCTCAAACGGTCCTTTGTATTAATTCAGCAGGGGTACAAACATGCGGTGCTATCCATGATAACCTCTATCCCTTAAGCCCCAAAACTTACCACTCTTCACCCCCCCCCCTGAGTGACCCTCTAGCCCTCCAACGTGTGGAGGATGTCCCCCAGGTGCAGCGGCCAGGGGTCCGCTGCCATCTGGGGGTGCGCTGCCTCGATCCCAGCCCTGGCCTTGGTGTGCAGGGCATTAGCCTGGGAGCGCCGACATATTCACTAAGGCCCTCGACCGCTCTACTCACTCGGCAATTTTGCCGCTCTGGGCCTTGCTCCCCATGGTGACTGATTCAGGGGTTGCTGTCTTATCTCATCCAGGTTTATAGATCTATGCAGGCTAAGGGGTTGTGTTTGATTATACTACTCTTCTGTATCCTGCATTGATCCTATAAACCCTAGGACAGAGATAGGCACCCAAACTATGTTTGGGTGCACAACTAGGGTTAACCCTAGTTGGGGGTTGGAACCCAACCTTGGTCCAATTATTGGCCCCCAAGGTTGAGTTGAGAGATTATTGGCCCCCCCCAATAATGTTGGCCCACTTTTGGCCAACATTATTGGGACCCCCCAATAATTCTCCAACCTAACTTATTGGTGGGGGGCCAATAATGATGACTAGGTACCCAACCAACCCCCCCTCCCCTAGCTTCAACTATGTAAGCCCGTATGATTCCTAATTAACTCAATGGTTCAATTCTAACAAACCTTACAGAAGGTACTGCTGGAACTCGATTGTGTGCCTGCTAGTGACGAGCCTTCTCTGATCATGCACCGAGAACCCAACTGAGTGAGTGCCAGTTATGCAGTCGATTGTGCTGCTGCATTATAGCCAATGAACACATCCTCTCTTGCCTTTCCATTTCTCTTTGAACCTGAAACTCCCTCTCCTTTCCCGTCCATCTGGAGCAGTCTTTCAAGCTCCTTATCTGCCCCCACCACTCCCCCAGGTGGCCTTCATCACCAGTCTCCTCCTCTGCTGCGAGCAACAACACACGTCCGCCGCCTTTTCTGCAATGCTTCAGAATTGAAGCAATTACTGAAGCGCCTCAATGAGAAGTCTTTGAATGTCCTCATTTGCCGTTACTTGCGCCGCCCTTCCCAGCCCAGGTGGCCATCATCAGCAGCAGTCTCGTTTTGAGACGTGTCAAACCTCAATCTCTGAAGCTCCTCATCTCAATAGTTGCAGCCTGCTGCGCCACACACATCCTCCCAGCGGCACCCATTGAGGCCTTCAATAAAAAAGAGTAACTCGAACTCCCCATCAGCCCCCACTTGCATCCCCTTCCCCAGGTGCCCATCATCAGAATTCTGCTGCAGCACACGTCCTCCCAGCAGCACCCGTCGTTGCCCTCCTTCCCCACTGCCTGCATCCGTGCCACCATCTGCTCCCTGGTGGGCAGCACTGCTGCTGACTCGCATGCCACCAGCAACAGGTAGATAGATAGAGGCAGTCACAGCAACCATGATTGAATGAGTGGAGTTGCCTTGTAGGAAGAGTGCAAAGCAGGGGCAATATGACACGCAGCTGCATTGCGCAAGCATGTTTCATCCACCACAGTGCCTGCAGTTGCATCATCCTTTCTTCTCGTGTCATGCATACTGTGTGTGCGGCTCTCTGTGTGTTGTGTGTGCCGCTCTCTGTGTGTTGTGTGAGCCGCTCTCTGTGTGTTGTGTGTGCCGCTCTCTGTGTGTTGTGTGTGCCATGCATCCCTCGTCTGCATGCAGCATCAGTACGAGCGCACTGCCCTCCGCGCCTCCCCTCGTATCAGACCACTTCAACATTCTGCGCCCAGCCAATGTCTTCCCAGTGAGTCGCCAGTTTCTCATCCTCTTTGCCTCTCAGGCTCCACCTGCGCACACCCCCTAATCGTCTGCTTGTTCCAATTTCGTTGTCGTTCCTTCCTCTCCTTTCCCTCCATCTCACTCACCCTTTCTCACCTCTCCTGTTTCCGCTAGTCTGCCCTTGTGACCTAATGGTAACCCCTTCGTCTCCCTAATCTCCTCCGTGTCCCCCTGCCAGCTGCTCCTCGCCCTGCACAAGGCGACTGTAGCGGCCTGCAGTCCACGTCATCGCTGCCACATCATCGCTGCGCTGTCAGTGCTGGTTGACGTCTTGGGAGACAGAGTCGCCGTGCCGCCCACATTCAGGTGAGCCACTGTCGCTCAATTGTTTGACTGCGCCATTTAGTCTCATGATCCCTTAAAAGTGTTTACAAATCTAGCGCTCCTTCCTTCCAGCCACATGCCTACCCTCTATGTATGGACCTTCAGACCATCTCTTACATCCCCTCGCACCTCCCGCATTCTTCTTCCCTCCACTTCCCCCACACTGTGACGCCCCTTTCCCCACACTGTGACGCCCCTTTCCCCACACTGTGACGCCCCTTTCCCCACACTGTGACGTCCCTTTCCCCACACTGTGACGCCCCTTTCCCCACACTGTGACGCCCCTTTCCCCACACTGTGACGACCCTTTCCCCAGGTACGTGGTGCACATCCTGCTCGCTTGCCTGCCCACCTCGGCACCCACCTGGCCTCCACCCGCCCCACCCCTCGCCTCCTCCCAGCTCTCGCTCTCTCAGAGCCCTTCCCCGTCCTCGCCATCACCCTCGACACCAGCAGCAGTGGCGGCGGCGTGTCTTGACGTGCTGGCGCGGGTGGTGGCTGCGGCACAGAGTGGTGGTGGTGCCAATGGGGGTGGCAGCAGTGGAACGACAGTGCCTGCTGCTGTGCTGGACCAGAGCCAGGTAGGCGACTTGGTGCAAGCATGTAGACGACTCAGTTTGGTGCAAGCAAGTAGGCGAATTGGTGCAAGCAGGTAGGCGAATTGGTGCAAGCAGGTAGGCAAATTGGTGCAAGTAGGTTCATTGGTGCCTATAAAGCATTGTTCTGCTGGTTTAGTTCTTGTAGAAAATGGATCAGTGAACTTAAGGCACAATAGGAAGGAAGAAAATATCCTTAGCAGGAGGATGGTAGGTACAAGTCTTAAAGACTAGAGCAACGTCCTTGTCCAAGAATGATTTCTAGAGAAGTGGGAAGCCACATATATGTGGCTGAACTCTTGAGGCTAGTTGCAGCACCTCAAAGCTGAGGGCAAGGCTAGCCAACCTTGCCAAGCTAGCAACTGAGGCCACATGTTGCACATGTGGGCCAGGCTGGAACAACAGCCTACATGGCAGCATGTGGCACACCATAGGGGCCTCCAGCCTACATGGCAGCATGTGGCACACCATAGGGGCCAGCAAGGTGAGTATGGGATGAGTGGACAGATGGCAATGCCAACTGTGACCACACTTCATTGTGGGTGAGTGTGGTGGAGTGTGGGAATGTCATGTTGAGCATAATGGGAAGAGAAAGTGCAACTGCTGAGAGTTGAACCCACGACCTCTAAGACCAAAGGCGAGACTCTGTGATAATATTTGAGGAAAAACCAATGATTTCATTAGGAGAGATGGGGGTATACATAGTAGTGCTGGGGGGGGGGGGGGGGGTTGTTTGGAACCAAGCCAACATTATTGGCCCCCACCAATAAGTTGGGTTGAAGGATTATTGGGGGGACCAATAATGTTGACCAAGTGGTTCAACATTATTGGGGGGACCAATAATTTCCAACCCAACCTTGGGGATCAAGGATTGAGTTCCAAACCCCAACTAAAGATAGCCCTAGTTCTACACCCAAACTAAGTTTGGGTGACTATCTCTATTCTACGCTTATAGGATTGATGTAGGTTACAATGAAGATGGCAATCTGACACAAACCCTTAACCTACAGAAATCCATAAGCTTAGGAAGAGAGAGAGTAACAACCCCTGAATCAGCCACCGCGAGGAGCAAGTCCCTGGAGACGCAAAAGCGCAGAGTGGTCAGAGCGATGGAGAGCCTTGGTGAAGAGATCGGCGAGGTTGTCGGAGGAGGCGATTTTGCGAACGGTGATGTGACCATCTTGGACAAGGTCGCGAACAAAGTAGTAGCGAAGCTCGATGTGTTTAGAGCGACCATGAAAGACTGTTTCCTTGGTGAGGTGGATGGTACCGTTGTTGTCACACCACAGGGTGGGGCGGGGCTGTGGAGAGCCAAGGTCGGTGAGCAGATAGCTGAGCCAACGTGCCTCTTGAGCCGCCATCGTGACCGCGTACAGTTCGGCTTCGCAGGATGAGAGGGCAACGGAGGAGGAGCGGGTAGAGTGCCAGCTGATGAGGCCGCCCCCGAGTGTGAAGCCATATCCTTGAGAGCTCTGAAGGTCGGGCTGTGCGTCGGCCCAAGATGAGTCGCTGAAGCCTTGAAGAATGGGCGGGTTCACACCACCAAGAGTGAGGACATGGTCCTTTGTGCCCTGAAGGTAGCGAAGAACACGCATGGCCGCCTTCCAATGCTCTTCACCATGCCTGCCGGTGCCAACGAACTGCGCTAGAACACTGATTGGGTATGCAAGGTTGGGACGAGTGCAGACCATGGCGTACATCAAGGCCCCAACAAGTTCTACATAGGGATGAGGGGAGGTGACGGGAGTGGTGGGAGGGGAGAGCCGATGCCCGAATGCAAGTGGTGTGGGGATGGGTTTGCAGGTTTTCATGCCAAACCTCTCAAGAATCTTCTCGATGTAAAAAGTGTGAGAGAGGGTGATGTTCTTGGCAGTGAGGTCGCGAGTGATCTCCATGCCGAGGTAGTTGCGAACCTCCCCCAGGTCTTTGCAGGCAAGGCGTTTCTGCAGCTCATCCTTGACCTCCTGGAGTTCAGCAGCTGTGCCAGTGGCCAGCAGCATGTCGTCGACGTAGATGAGGATGAAGAAGGGTGATGGGGTGAGGCGCAGGAAGAGGCAGGAGGCGGCACGGGAGGGGCGAAAGCCAAGTGCGCGAAGGGTGGAGGAGAGTTTGGCGTGCCATTCCCGAGGTGCTTGTTTGAGCCCGTAGACAGGGCGTAGCAGCTTCCAAACAGTGGTAGGGTCGTGAGGAGCGTGGAAGCCTTTGGGACGTTCCAGGAAAATAAGCTCATGAAGGTTGCCTTGCAGAAAGGCGGTGGTGACGTCCATGGAGTGAAGAATCATCCCACGTCTGCCAACAAAGTCCAAAAACACGCGAATGACCGGTGGAGTGGCGGTGGGTGAGTAGGTCTCGAAAAAGTCAGAGCCATAGGTCTGTGCGAAGCCTTTTGCCACATATCGAGCCTTGTAGACCGGAGCGTCGCCAGGGAGTAGTTTTACTCGGAAAAGCCACCTGCCTTTGACCACGTTGTGCTTAGAGGGATGAGGAACGTCGAGAAAGGAGCGGTTGCTGATGAAGGCAATGCTCTCCTTGACCATGGCCTCGATTCAGAGAGGTGCATCAAGACAGGCAAGTGCTTGCTCAAGGTGGTGGGTTCGTAGATAGTGGGGTTGGTGGAGAAGAGAAGAGCAATAGTGCCAGCCATTGTGCGGACGACGGGGACGATGGTGGGTGAGAGGAGGTGGAGGAAAAGAAGCTCATCGTGAGAGTCTTCAGAGAGGTCCGGAGTGAGAGGAGGAGGAAGAGGAGGCGGTGGAGTTGCAAGACAGTTGCGTTGGAGGGTCAGGCCGATGCGGAGACACAGCTGCACTGGTGCTCTGCTGCGCTGAGGGTCGGGGCGGGGAGACAGCTGCATTGCAGCTCGGCTTCGCTGAGTTGCCGTGAGGGGCAGGGAGACGGGAGCGCGACTGCCGAGAGAACCTGAGGTGCTGGTGCGGGAGGGAGGGGAGGTGCTATGGTGGCAGAGAAGGGGGGCGGATGTGAGAGACTGGAGGGAGGGGGGGGTGGACCTTGGGGTACCAAGAATGGGGACCGTGGAGCGGGTGTGAGGGTAGTGGCGGAGTATGAGAGGGGGAGTGGGAAGTAGGGGCCGGGAGGATGGAGGTGGAGTGAGTGAGGGAGGGCGTGGGGAGGGGGGAGGTGGGGGATGTTGTGCATGGAGGGAGGGAGGGGAAGGAGGGGGAGGGGGTGGGGAGGGATGGGGAGGGGCAGCGGGTGGGGAGGGAGGGGGAGGGGCAGCGGGTGGGGAGGAAGGGGGAGGGGCAGCGGGTGGGGAGGGAGGGTGGACGGGGTCAAGGATGTCTCCTGATGAGGCGGGGGGAGAGGGGGGAGGGGGTGGGGGTGCAGGGGGCACAATGGTGGGGAGGGGGGAGAAGGGAAGGGGAGGGGAGAGGGGGTGGGGGGGGAATGGTGCCAGTCCAGAGGAAGGGACGGGTGGTTAGAGGGAGGGGGTTAGGGGCTTTGGGGGAGGTGTAGTACGGGTGGGCTTCATCGAATTCCACATCCCGACTACGAATGAGGCGACTTGAGGGGGGATGGAGGAAGAGATAGTCCAGGGAGGAGGTGTTGTGACCAAGGAAAATGCAGGAGGCTAGCTTCCCAGCTTTGCGTGAGCGGTCGACAGGGTGTATGAGAACATACGCCATGGAACCCCACACGCGCAGGGGGGTGATGTCGGGCTTTTTGGATGTCCAGAATGCAGTGGGAGTGGTGGTGGGCCGGGAGGGATGAGGGTACAAGTTAGTGAGGATGGCAGCATGAAGGATGGCATAGTCCCAGAGAGAGGGCGGGAAGGAGGCATGGACCATGAGTGCGGGAGCAGTCTTGGTGACCTCGCGGACCCTGCTTTCCGCCACGCCACTCTGCTGAGGGGAATGAGGTAGGGTGTAGGTGTGAATAATGCCACGAGTGGTGCAGTAGGATGAGAGCATGTTGTTAAGAAACTCACCACCGCCATCAGAGTGGAAGCGGGAGACAGGGCGTTTGAAATGGGTGCGTGTTTGTTCAGCCCAGGCAGTAATAGCTGTGAGAACTTAGGCTTAGAAGCGATACATTAGTAATGAGCTTGAAGCTCTTTAAGTACATCCAAGAAGGGTAAGGAATAGTTGGGGAAGGGAATCAGAGGCAATCCCTGGGGATTGGGGGTAATCTCCAATTGGTGGGTTGGAGATTGCTTGGAGATTACATTTGGGTTTGGTTGGGATGTAGGTGTACACCCAACCAAACACAATGTGCAAACTACACTACTCTAGGATATAGAAAATACAAAGTACAAAGTGTGAGATTGAAGGCTAACACGAACACCCCCCCATAGGCGTCAATCGAACTCAGGGCAGAGAGGGTGGAGCACAGAGCCCCATGGCGCCAAGGAGACGGTGGTGGGGAACAGATCAGCCAGGTTGCAGTCAGATGCTACGTACTCCACTGTCAACTGCTCCTGCTGGACAAGGTCACGGATGAAGAAGTTCCTGAGTTCAATATGCTTGGTGCGGGTGTGATACACAGGGTCTTGAGAGATGTGGATGGTACTCTGGTTGTCACACCAAAGGGTGGGGGCGGACTGTGGGAAACCAAGCTCCTGGAGTAGGAAGGTGAGCCAACGGGCCTCCTGAGCAGCCATGGTGCCTGCGTAGAGCTCTGCCTCACATGAGGAGAGGGAGACTGCAGACGACCTGGTGGAGCGCCAACTGACGATTCCGCTCCCAAGGGTGAAGCAGTACCCCTGCGAGGAGCGTCGGTCGGTCTGGTCATCAGCCCAGGAGGAGTCGGTGTAACCTTCCAGGCGAGGAGGGGAGAGCCCACCGAATGTAAGAACATGAGACTTGGTGCCCTGAAGATAGCGCAGCACCCGCTTCGCCGCCTTCCAGTGAAGATCAGTGAAGCGTCCAGGGGCCACGTAGCGAGAGAGGACACTGACAGGATAGGCCAGGTCCGGTCGGGTGCACATCATGGCGTACATGAGGGACCCACCAAGCTCCGGGTATGGC